CCAGGGCAGGAGCACCTTGCACCTTGCCATGGTCTGGATCTGCGCGGCCACACGGCTCAGAGGGACAACCAGAGCCAGCACCGGGGTAAGAAACACCCCCCCGCCCCCGGGAGAGGCTGGCTTCTCTGCAGAGGGGAGGGAAGGATCCAACGGCAGAGCCAGGTCAGCTCAGCTCCCGGGGAGGGAGGCAAAGCCCGAGCCAGCTCCAGCGCCCGCCTCGCTGGTGTCAAGCCGTTTGTCTCGTGGCGTGACCGAGGACGCTCTGCAGCGAACCCGGGGCAGGACCAGCTGCCTGAAAGCTCCACGACCCTGCCCAGGAGCCTGCCTGTACCTGGGCCACGCCAAGCCACAGCAAGGTTTTGAATAATCCCCTTCTTCGAATTAGCCCCCCCTCAGGAAAGGATAAGCCCCCCTCTGCGGTCCCCAAACAAGTGACTTGTATCATCCACTGCAGTAGCACGTCAGGGGCAGCTGGGTCTGCAACGGAGCACGGGGCAGGCAGGGATCTGCAAAGAGCTCCAGCAGCAAAGGGTCAGGGGATGGAACACCCTCCTCACACCCCATCCGTGCCCCGTGGAACAACTGCAGCTCATCCCCAGGCCCAGGAAGGCTCTAGCTCGTCGGGGCGGCACTAACTCCAGGGGGGAGATGACCTCCAGCTCATCCAACACAGGCTGGAGAGCGATGCCTGGCCTAACCAGAGCTGCCACCGGGACCTGAGGCGACCCAGCCCTCACCTCCACCTTGATGGCGCAGCGGCCGATGGCTCGAACCGCCTTCCTCACAAAGTCCACGTCCACCTCCGTGGCGTATTCCTTCAGCTCTGCCAGCACCTGCCAGAAGGGACAAGACAGTGAGAGGCCAGCAGCAAGCAAAGCCACCAGAACAGCAGGGCAGCGACGCAGCAGAAGCAGACTGGGTGGTACAGCTGCTCCCACCTGCATCCTGCAACGCCGGGTCTAGGATTTCTCAGGGGCCGGGGCCCCCTTGGTGCCCACCCAGCGCAGTCAGGCAGATCCTGACCTGAGCAATGTTGGCCTGGGAAGCCAGGCGGATCATGATGTCCAGCTTCTCCAGTTTGACGTAGATGGGGTCGTTGTACTTGACAAAGAACACCTTCATCTCGTGCTTCAGGATCTCGGGCCTGGAGGACAGCGAGAGGCAGCGATTAAGAGACACACGCTCCTTCACTTAGACCACGAAGAGAGACATCAACAAAAAAAAAATCTTCCAGAAGCCATGGTTTTCTCCAGAGCTTTCTGGACACTATCTATCTATCAAATGGTGGCTCTAGTGGCAGAAGCAAGATCTCAGCTCTGCTCCCACCTCCAGGCTCTGACCCAGGCAGCAACCGGCAGGCAAAGCAGTGCAGAAAGGGAGCTGTCGTCCCCAGAAAGCTGCAGACGGGTCAGGAGGTGGATGGGGGGGGGATTCACCTGACCCTGCAGCCAGCAAACGCCCCAAGTCCACGCAAATTCATTACTCCATTAGCCAGCTCCAAGCATGAATCAATCACTCCCCGGCCGAGGCTGGAGCTGGGATGGTGAAGGCTGGAGGACACGGAGGACCTAAGCCTGGGAAACCCGGAGCCGGAGGACGAGCAGCTCTGGGCCAGGGGCACGAAGCTCCTTGGCTACAAGCACAAGGTTTTGGGGGCCCGTTCAATGTCAAGGAATCCAAGATACTGTGATTATTCCCGCAGGACTCTGTCCTTTGGCTCCCCTTTACTGGCACGCAGGGGACAGAGCACAACCTTGCCGCAAACCAAGGCGCCAGGGGACGTTTGTCTTGCCAAGGTTGGAAGGGACGCTTAGGGGAGAGCAGGGATGCAAACCCAGACCCCAGGGCTAGGCTGGACCTTTCTCATCAGCTCATCCTCTCTCTAAGCTGGGAAAGAGACAGGCCAGGTCCAGCTCCGAGGAGCCAACCTGCCTTCCCCATTCCCGCTCCCAGGGACACTAATTGCTTTCCACCTCTCCCAGAAATTGCTGCTATTTTTAATAAGCAACCACGGCGATAATGGGTAGGACAACAAATCATCTGACAGGGGCTGTCACTGCGGAGCGGGGCTCTCCAGCTGGCCAGTTCTGCTCGGGGCACATGTCCGGGGCCTCGGACACCTCCTGCCCACCAGCGATTTGAGATCAGCAAAGGGACAAAGAGGACTCTCAGCACTTGTTCAAAGAGGACGACGGCACAGAAACAACCTGGTATCACAAAAATTCCTCACCAGACATTCAATGACCAAACCAAAGTCTCAGCTTTCGGCCTTTCCATCCTTTGCTCCCCCAAAGAAACAACAAACTAAAATAAACCCCTCCTGGAGTTCCCAGCTTAGCTCCCTGCTCACTGCCTCTCCTGATCCTTTGCACCCAGCCCCTGGATTTTAAATAATAGAGAAGAAAACCTATACAAAGCCCTGCAGTCAGAGGGTTTGAAGCACTGGGAAGCAGCACCCCTAGGGAAGAGGGAAAGCCTGAGCCAGGCTGTCCCTCCTGCCACGCCTGGACACCCACCTCTTCTGCACGATGAGGTTGATGTTGCGGAGAGCCACGTACTGCAGCTCGGGCTCTGCGGAGAGCAGGGTGACCAGCGGCGGGGCCAGCTTCTTCAGCAACGTGCCATAATAATCCAGGTCCTTCGACAGCATCTCCATGAACTTCATCAGCACCTTCACCGCCGAAAGCACCACCGCCGAGTTGGCGTGGGACAGCCGGGGCGTCACCCGCTCGCAAATGCTGGAGGTGTCGGGGGTTGATGGGGAAGGAGAAGGGAAAGGAAACAATCACAGCCCGCTTCAACGCTGCTCCTAGTGCCGAGGGACAACGAGGCACCAGCAGAGTTTGCAGCAAAGCAGCACTTAAGACCTTCCCAAGGGATTCTGACCCGGCTCTTCAACACCCTGATGATGGTTATTTCCCAGCCTTTACAAACCCCTCTTGCAGTGACCCCCTTTCAGAGCTCCCCAGTGCCTGTCCTCCCTTGCTGCACAGCCAGGCCACATTTGGAAGCAGCTCGAGAAGCACAATCCCCGTGCCAGCACAGGGACAGGGCTCGCTGCAGGACCACGGCAGTCTCCAGATGGTCGTGCCCAAGGCACGGTGGCCAGCAGATGCTCACTGTCCCACCTCCCACAGCGGGATGCCAAGGGTCAGGAGGATGAAGATGCTTCTTAGAGGAGAAGGGGCAGTGTCAGGCCCTTCGGTCAATCCCTGCCTGTCCCCCTCCCCTTTCCAGTCCCGCTCCCGCTGGTCCACGGTGCCCTGAAGGCAGCGCTGGCCCCAGCAGCACCCAGAGCCTCCCTCACCTCTGGGCTTCCCGGTCATCCTTGGGCATGTAGTTTGCCAGGCAGTCCAGGATGAAGATCTGGCCCCACTCGGTGCACTCGTTCAAGGCCGTGAGCAGCTTGTTGATGGACTGGGGGTTGAGGTCCAGGAGGTTACTGCTCGGGTGAGACTCTGCTATTTCTGAGAGAGCTGCT